TAATACATGTGTTTTGTCGTAACTCATTTTTGAGATGGATGAGTTCCTCCGTTAATGTCTTAATAAGTTGCTGCGTCGAATCCAGCCGTTGATTCATATCATCGTCCCGTTTTCTAAGCTCATTTCTAAGAACGCTCAAGTCCACATGTTCTTGGTATGGAGCATATGTATCATCTTTAAAATAGTTAAAAATAATATTACATTAAAGCAAGTATATACTTTTGTTAGTTTATATATTAATTTATATAAAGGGTTTCAAATGACGATATGGCAAAGTAGCCAACTTTCCGCAGACCATATATTTCAAGATTAATGTTTACAATTTTTCACATTACAAATACAAGGTTAATCTATGTAAATAATGTTTGGGTACAAATCCATCACTGGGATGCTTTATTGGGCAGGATATGATTCTGCAGGTCTCGAATCACACAATCCGATGCCCCTTCAAGAAGAGTTTGAGGAAGTAAGCTGGAAGAGCATATCCAGTTGTATATTTTTCGCTGGAAATAGGCAATCTGTAAAAACGAAGAAAAATACAGTAATAAGGTCTGAATAATAAAAAAAAAAAAAAAAAAAAAATATATATAGCCGGCTGCATTATAAGGAATTAGAAGTGTTTCTTTCCATCGAAGTGCAGTAGTCACAAACAAATCGTTAGAATGCTTCACTCGGCTGAAACTTTAGGTCTCAAATCACACTATGCGTCAGCAGCGAAGAGTTTCATATTCTAAGCTGGGAAAGCATAGGTAGTTACATCTTTTTTGCTGAGAGTCGAAAATCTGCAAAAATAAGAAGAAAAATACAATAAGGTTTGATTAATAAAAAAAAAATCAAAATAGTCAAATAAAATGCAGACGGATGTGCCGGCATGCATGTTGAAGAATTTGGAATTGAGCTTCTTAAACCCGAGGTATCTGCAGTCTACAGTGTTAGATAGTAAGCTGAAAGAACATAAACAGTAGTGGAATTAGACAATCTGCAAAAACAAGAAAAAAGGTCTTAATAAAAAATAATAAAAATACAGCTTTTGCGGGTCGAATCAAAAGAGACGTCCCCAACAAAATAGATAAAAAGTCAAAACACAATGCCCCGATAAAAAAATAAACAGAAAACAAAATCCAAAAGAACCAACGCAATCAGCTGGAACATTCAATAAATGAGCCGCGGAACTAGTACAAGGTGTTTCAGCGCCGGATTACCCATGGTACAATGAATTCAAGGTAGGGCAGAACTACCATATGATTTAAATTTTTTTATTTTTCTGGCTTAATATGTCAACTTCATTTGCTTATGTGTGTGTCTTCTTTTCAATAATAAAAAATTGTTCAGAAAATATTCAAATTCGGGTGTTTTCAAAATGCTTATTGCAAGGAATGCATCGACAAAATCTACAGTTTTTGTCGCGAAATAAACCATAAGAGATATATAGAACATGATATTGAAAATAAATTTTGACCATTCATTCAGTTTTCGCGGTTTTAAATTATTTATTCAAAATCAATGCAACAAGTTGTTTACTTTTTTATTGTTTTGATAGTAATTCTGACATTACAAGCCAAACAGGTAGACCTCTATACTTGCAATTTTTTCAAAGTTGACCTACCTTCTCTTCATTGTACCATGGGATTACCATTTGAAAACTAATCGGCTGTGGCATGGTAGAAGAATATAGGTAGACGCATCGACACAGCTGTTGTGTAAGTATTTATTGTTTTGAAAAACGAAAACAAAATATTTTCAAAATCAATGATTGGAAGAATCGTATATTGCAGGGTGAACATTAAATATAATAACTATTTTTGTCATGGAATTGGAGGATTGAGATCATATTTTTGGAAGAAAATCCAGGCATTTCATTCTCTATTTCTACTTTTTCGTTTTTTAATCAATATTTAAAATAAGCGGGCATAGCCTCGACAGTAAGCGGGCTGAAGTATGAAGCTGTTCTACCTCCTTATTGTTCCAAGGTAACCTGAGTTGGCAAAGCATACTTTAAAAGTTTTGTTCCAGTACTTGTTTGGTAGTAAAACTAGAAGAAGAGAGAACAGTTCGAAATGTCATTCTCATTTAGGTGTGCTCATGGTAGAAGAATAGAAGAATATGTCAAAATTTTAAAAATTGTTGTGTCAAAAATAAGTACATTTTTATATATTTTCTTATACGTTGCAATATGCATTTCTCAACAATTTTTACAAATTTTAATAATTTTTCATTCAACATTTTAAATTTCAAAATCGTTTTGACAGTTCATTGTCCCAGCAGCTGTGTCGAAGCGACTACCTGTATTCTTCAACCATGGGTGTGCTCAAAAAATAAGGGAACGGAAAATTAGCAGAAATGCGATAAAATTTCAAAATTCAAAAAGTAAACAGTCTAAATCGGACTGGTGAAACCTTACTGAGAATGACGCAAAATTTTTAAAAATGAGTATTGAAGACGGTAAGTTAAAATTATTAATCTATAATAATAATTAATAATCTGATTCAGCCAGTCCTCTTCACTGCTGGAATCATCCAAAAGTGAATACAGCAGTTGCTCCATATTTTCTCTTTTTGTTTTTTGCACGACAAATATTAGTTTTTCCTTTAGTTTTTAAGTTGATCATTTTCTTTATTTTTGTTGTGACGCGCGAACTTTGAAAAGTGTATATATATTTGTTAGCCTGCCAATTAATTGTCAAATTTACAATATGCACATTTCTGCTCGGCCAAATTCTTGTAGCTAAGACAGACATAAATGTGCACCACTCTGCGCCATTTTTTCTCGAGAGAGCTGCAAGTTTTGCTAGTAGTACTAATTTTTAGGTTCTGGAACACGTTACGTTTTCATTCGTTTTATTCGCAATGGCATGTATTTCGACAATACGGGTGAATTCGTGAGTACATAAGTAGCTTGGCATCATGGCTAGGCATAGTTATGACAAATTATAAGGAAAAACGACGGCAGGATTAGAGTGCGGCTCTGGCATTCCTTTACGATGTCACAAAATATGTCATACGAAAACTTCAAGCTGTTTATATACCCATGTTTTAGGTCGTTCAATAAGACCTGCTGATTTCAGCCGTACTGTCAAAATATCGGCAATTGGGATTTAAAAGTATGACAACGCAAAAAATATATTTTCAGTACAAGGGTGTTTCAATCTTTACAGTAGTTTTTCGTTGTGCTTACAAGACAAGTCTGATTTCTGATCAGCGTTCGAAAATAAACAGTACACAAACATAGTGTACTGTACCGGGACAGTATCACTAAAATAAATTTTAGCGGTAGTATACCGGTACACTACCACTAAAAAATATTTTAGTGATACTGTACCGGAACACAACGATGATCGTAGTGTACCGCAGTCGGAACAATAAAAAAATCGTAGTGTACCGGAGTCGGAGCATTAAAAAATCGTAGTCGGATAAACATTTGTATGTAAACTTTTTTAAGGACCTCTAAAGAATATTCCTGATCAGCGTAACATTGTAAGACGTTTTATGTCACCTGTCCGTCCGCCTGTGTTAATACAACATTTGATTGAATCGACCATGGTAGAATCAAGAAGGTTAAGTCATATGCATACAATTTTCTTTAAATATTTCTTTTGACAACATCTCATTGTCAAAATATATATTTATAAGTCCATTGTAAATACACAAATCAGAGATGGGAACCTATTTTTATGCAGTAAGATTTGACAAGGTAAATTAAAGAAAATGCAGAGGTGGGTATGCTTATTTGAAATGAGACTACATTGGAATAATTTTATCAAGGTCTATAGAAGATCGGTCAAGAAGACTACTCTTGACAACAATTTGACAATAAACAGTTTTTGCACAATTGTGATTTACGATATCGAAAAAAATACGAAACCAGTAGATCATTGTAGATTCTGGAACAGAGCAATAGTCCTCCAATATATCAATCAAATGATAATACCCGGGTAGAATCTGGATACATAGATATTTGCCATTTTTTGATATCAAGGGAATATAGGTTATCGTAGTAAAAAATTTTACATTCTCGCAGTTCTGGAACAGATCAATTATTAATTGAAACGGGGTTGACTTAGATGACAAAAAAATATTATAAATGTGTTGCGTACAATCACAATAAACATAAAGGATGTTTTTCTTGGACCAAATTATTATGATTGGTCGATTATCACAATGCATCAACGCTTGGGAACATTGATATGTCAAAATTGTTAAAATGTTTTGTCAAAAATAAGTAGATTTTTACACGTCTTCTTATACGATGCAAATTGGAGGTTGTTATGATATGCATTTTTCAACAATTTTTACAAATATCAAAAATTTTTCATTCAACATTTTTAATTTCAAACTCGGTTTGACAGTTCATTGTCCCAGCAGCTGCGTCGATGCGTCTACCTGTATTTTTGTACCATGCATGTTACAATGAAATGGTAAAGTAGAGCTACCAGCTGATTAAATTTTTCAAGTGTGCCCGACTTCTGCCAATTTTGTGTATGTATTTTTGTTTTGAAAAATAAAAAAACAAAATATTTTCAAAATTAATCATTGGAAGAAACATACATAGTGGAAATGGCGTCAAAGCTATTCGCCAGTTTTGCCATGGAATTGACAGATCAAACTGTTTGGATCATATTTATGAAGAAAACCCTTTCATTTTATTACTTTTTCGCGAGATTTAACTCATTTAAAAATGAGGAAAAATATTGCATAAATAAAATCAACTTGTTGCATGTGAATTTGACAAGAAGCGGGCATAACGTCAGGGCTGCATTTCTGTGGTTTTACGTAGTTGTTCTACATCCTTATTGTATCATGCCTGCAAGTATTTACTAGTTTTGAAATTTATATGCAAAAATACGTTTGCAGATGGATCTGGCTATAATTTGAGGCTTTTCCCGTATAGACAATTTTCGGTCATAGGAGGTTGTACTAAAAAAAAACTTGAAATTTCACACTTTAGTTCTTGTTATCATTGAAGTAAATCTTACATATCTACTTTTTATTAAAACTTTAATTTGCTTTATTATCATTATCATCATCAGTGTCCATTTTAAGCAATATCTAACCTAAAAGTTACAAAAATCAATATTATTCTGTTACTTAGCTGCAAAATAAAAATATCATTTTAATTATAAAATAAAATACTTGCTAGAACCCAAAAAAAAAAAAAAATGTTTGTATGTACTAAAATCGCACTTATTCTATTTGCATTAGGGAGCTATGGAAACCAAACCAATTTTAAATCTCATTTTTGTTATTAAAATTTTAGAAATTTCACAAGGAAATGGATAAGGATAGCGGCAGAGGATCACATTTCGGTTAGACAATCTACAATAATTAAAGAAAAATTACAAAAAAAAAAGGGGAGACATATTACAAATAAAAACTAAAAGTACATGTATATAAATTCTTAAACACAAAACTAAATACTTGTAGGTTAGATTAAGATTAGGTTACATTGCATAGATATTTCTTTTGTTTTTGCGTTTGTTTTTTGTTTCTTGCTTGGAAATTAGCACGATTCCTTGTTGCAATCGACAAAATTACTAAACTCGGTGGAGTTCGGTGGACCTTCACTGTAGAGATATGTTACAGGCCAAAGACGGGCAGCTGTGAAATCGCTTAAATTCTGCAAGCCGCCAGGTCTGGGTGGTTTTTGATATTCTTCAGATGTTGAGGCAGCCGATGAATAACTGTCGGAGGGTTTTCGTTTCTCGCTGGGTTTTAGAGGTTTAACACTGAGACCGGAATGTGTGAGGGTATGATTGCCAGGATAGTAACGATCGCTACATTTACGCCATTGATCTGGTTCGTCGCCAACAAAGCACCTGTTTGGGGGAAAAAAATTGTCATGTGGTAAGAGATTTTTATATGTGTTGTTGTTAAACAATTTTTTTTGCAAATATAAATTCTGTAAACTATTTGTTGTGATTTTCCTTCCTTCGATTGATTCTTGGCGAAATAGCTCTTGACAACGAGCTACTTCGCCATGAGGTCTAAATTCGCCTAATGGACGATTTTATAAAGATACATTGATCTAATGTAAGTTTTCTATAGTCTAGTATGAATATCAGCCGAATTCTAAGACATCACTTTCAGTTTCTAAACAGAAACAATACAGATTGTTCCTTTACTGTTGTACCCGTTAACCAAAGAGAAGATCATTAATTCAATCCCCGATTTCATTGTTTTAACAAGTAAAAAAACATTAAATTCGGCCGGGCCAAACTTTTAATACCCTCCACCTTAGGGTAAAATAAACATTAGAAGAAATGTGGCAAAAACCATTAAAATGCCGATTATGGGGAGGTACCGTAATATGGGGGCTACACCAAAACGTGGACCTATAATTACAATGTTTCGCCACACGAACTATGACCCATTATGGCCCACAAATACCAATTTTTAGACAAATCAGTGAAAAAATGTGGCAAAAACCATCAAAAACCGAATATCGGGAGGTACCGTTATATGAGGGCTATACCAAATCATGGACCCATACATGCAATGTTTCGCCACCGGAGCTGGAACCCATTTTGACCAACAAATACCGATTTTCAGACAAATCCGTGAAAAAATGTTGCAAAAATCATCAAATTACCGAATATCTGGAGGTACCGTTATATGGGGGCTATACCAAAACGTGGACCTATAATTACAATGTTTCGCCACACGAACTAGGACCCATTATGACCCACAAATACCAATTTTTAGGCAAATCAGTGAAAAAATGTGGCAAAAACCATAAAAATACCGAATATCGGGAGGTACCGTTATATGAGGGCTATACCAAATCATGGACCCATACATGCAATGTTTCGCCACCGGAGCTGGAACCCATTTTGACCAACAAATACCGATTTTCAGACAAATCCGTGAAAAAATGTTGCAAAAATCATCAAATTACCGAATATCTGGAGGTACCGTTATATGGGGGCTATACCAAATTTCGGACCCATACATGCAATGTTTTGCCACACGCTCAGGGACCTGCTATGACCTACAAATACCAATTTTAAGACAAATCCGTGAAAAAACGTGGCATAAATCATCAAAATACCGAATATCGGGAGGTACCGTTATATGGGGACTATACCAGAACGTGGACCGATATATCTCATTTTCAATACCAACCATCCTAGACACAATGCAAATAGCTCTGCTAAATTTTGGAGCTCTACGTCAAATAATGTGGGCTGTATCGTGATTTCAACAGACAGACAGACAGAGAGACGGACAGACAGACAGACGGACATCATTAAATCGACTTAGAATTTTATGCTGATTATGAATATATATACTTTATGGGGTCTAAGACGAATATTTAAGGATGTTACAAACGGAATGACAAAGTTAATATACCCTCCTTTCCAAGGTGGAGGGTATAAAAAAATCATACTGAGGCCAAATTCAATTTAGGAATGATACGTAGAGTATGAAGTTTGTTACTGCATCGATACGCTTCAGATAATCAAAAATCGAACATGTACCACGCATTCTTCGTCGCAAAGGCGTAATTTTGGCACCCTCTTTAGTTTATGTATGAAACAGTCCTATTCTCAAACTAATTTGATAATGGATGACCGAGTACAGAGCTTAAAATAAAACGAGAAATTTGCAGACGGAATGTAACAGTACGTCAGAGTTAGAATAATTTTCAAAGAATAGAGTGCAAGTGTCTTTAATGTTGAGGCTCAATTCAAAACAATTCTCACCCAAGTTTTGGGTATTACATTCTGTATAGAATATTCAAGCATATAACAGATTGGAATGTTTTGACCCTAATTTAAATGAATCTCAGAGTGTAGAGTAGAGTAGATTTTCTTCGAACTCCTTTGTGCAGGCCAAATCAAACCCATCCCAGTTCTGCAAAAAAAATTCGCTTTTGATGCATTTCTTATGTATGCCACGTAGCAAAACAATTGTGGTAGACTTATTTGCTACAACGAATATGGCAATCCTTTTCTGTCGTACTCGACCTTGTGATTTTTCAAGTAAAATTTAACTTCATACCTAAAATATATACGTATGACGAGTGGCATATTTTATGAATAAATATATAATCAATTATATTCGGCGTTCTTTGGAACATCAAAACAATTATATGTTCCATATCTTACGAAGACGAATTTTATGTGTCTTTTTTAAGCTTAATCATTCAAAAATATACTTTAAACCCATCATCTTGAGGAAGCTTTATCCGTGTTGTTAGGCGTGAGACAGATCAAAGCTTAATTCCTGACTTCGGCGTGAAAATACAACACTGTTTTCATTTAGCTGACAAGTGTTGCATTTTCTGGTTTCGTGCAACGAAAATATGTCGTATTTTTTCGCCGAAGTCACGATTTAAGCTTTGATCTTTGATCGAAATCTTACCCAGAAAATCTCGTGCACTCAACTTAAGGCCAATTCGACTGAAATTTCGGGATGACAATTTTCTAACAGCATTAAGGTTTTAAGTACATAGCTAGGAATACATGGCTAGGAATATTAATGACAAATTATAATGAAAAACGACGGCAGGATTTTAGTGCGGCTCTGTAATCCCTTGTCACAAAATATGTCTAGCCATGAATTCAAGCTTCATATGTACTTACGCCTTTATAGAAAAACAAGCGATATTGTTGATCTTCATACTTGTCCTAGCTGCAGCAAAATGATTTTTTAAAGCTAAATTCAAATATTTCAAAATCAAGTCTTATATTTCATAATAGAATGAGATTTCCTTGGTAATTGTACCGTGGTATGTCATTTAAGTAGTTCAATTGACAATGGTAAAACTTTTAATACAATTGTTAAAAAAAATTTTGGAGTTGGAAGAAATTCTAAATAATTTTTCGAGAACTTGATCCTATGAGCTTGACGTTTTCCGCCAGGGTGCTTTCAAGTGTCGTAGCCGTTCAAAGACGTGCAACGCTTGGTTTCGTCATAGGAAACTTTTAGCATAGGAAACTTTTAGCCGTCAAGTTTTAATTGATGAAAAATAAAGGGATTTTTACTAAATCCTTTGAAGTAAAAATGCTAGTAATCCGTTATAACTTTTCAGATTGAACACGGACACTTCTTCTGTGCCATTTTTAGCAATTCGTTATCTAAATCATTTAAGCAATTTTTTTATGTGGATGATCTATTGACTGTTGCTATGACATGAGTAGTCTGACATATTCAAATCACAGTTATATATTTTGACAGCAAACTTGCTGCGCTTACTGGTCGGCCTTAAGTTGATGTTACATACATGTCCTATTTTCCCTTATAATTTGACTTTAATATGCTATGCTATGCTATGCTATGCCAAGTTGCTTATGTATCACCACCTTTACATAGGCCAGTCCGACATTATATAGGCCTTGATAAAGTAGCGTTGTAATTAATTACTCAGTGATTACATAACTTACCATGGATAGTCGAATCCTTTCGAATAGCCACAAGGATGATCCATCTTACAGCAATAATCCCACGAGCCTATTTCACCACCCTCGATTTCACACGAATAGAAACCGGTTATGAGATTTTTCTCACAGGGACTATTGCGGCGGCACGGTTTCCCCGATACCGAATAGTGATGCCAAGCCAAATCACCTGAAAAAAAGATACAAAAGACAACAAAAATTGATAGAAAACGTAAATTCATTGGAATCATGCCACTGCTCCCAAAAATATTACCTGGTTCCCTAAAGATGTCCATGCGACGATTATTATTAACCCTTGAACCACCAATGGTGTTAACCTTATCCCGACATGTATAATCGAATGGATTCCAAGCAAATAACCAAAAATCTCTATCATCGGTGTGAGTGTAATGAACATTCAATTTCAATTCGGTTTGATCCAAATCGGACATTTCACAATTGAAGGTGGCTTTGCGTGAGCTGTGACAGATGATTGGAAAGACACACACAGAGAGAGAGAGAGAGAGATAAAATGACAGTTATGGTCAATGAAATGATAAAGCAGCACACTTACCCATAACTAAAGGAGTAGCACTTAAAGGACGTGGTATCCCGGAAGCGCATACATTCCTTTTTACACTCCATTTCAGAGGGAGTCGTAATGACTTTCTTTATCGCCGGTGGCAGTAGCTTGGCAGCCGAACCATAACCCAAATAGCAGAAGGCTTAAGGAATATAAAAGTTGTTAAAAACGGTATTGGTATTTGGAAAAAAAAAAAATATTTGGAATCCGAGGAATTATGTTCGAATTTCCAAGTGGTCCCTATTTACACTTGCGGTCTTTGCCGCAAAGAAAATATGATCTGGGAGGAAGTGAGTTAAATAAATTAAATTTCACTTTTCTTTGTGGCAATTTTAGCACGAGTGAATAGAGACACTGTTCGAAAAAATCGATAGAGCGTTCAAAATACACCGCGTTTTAATCTAATTTCAAAATGTTTGCCTTTCAAACTTCTACTCTTTGTTTGTCTTACATTTTTTGTGTTTCTCATCAACGATGGGCTGGATTTCACAACCATGTCCATAACTGGCTCTCTCGAAAATATCAAATGCCTTATCCAACACTAAATGGCGTTCCTTGTCCATATCTCTGACTGGCCAATCGCTGAGTTGGCAGTTATCGATAACACTAGCATGCCTCTGTTGACCATAACGGAAGGCAAAAGCACGACAGGTGAATTTCGTCGATTTAATGCATTCCATTTCACATTCCCCCACCGATCGCACGGTCAACGAATCTCTGACAATGGATTTGAAGAATCGTGTGGCATCAATGGCACGGAAGAAACATTCTGTTTGCAAGGAGACAGAGGTTAATTCATTTAAAGATGCATGCAAGGCCTCTCAAACTTACGAGCATTTCTGGGATCTGCCAAGGCCGTAGTTGGAGGCCCACCTCCTCTTGGGCCATCACTTCGCGAGGGCTTCCGACAAACGTTCATATCATCTGACATGGAATAGATATCGTAGTTGCGATCCGGTTCTATGTCCACGTAATAGTCCAAACGATTTATGGGTCGATCACACAGCATGCAATTGTCCCGACTTCCAGGGGAGTAGCGATAAGAGAAAGTGTGGCAAATAAAAGCATCCTGACCATAGCACAACCGTTCACATTCTGTCAAACTGGGTGCGGAATAGATGTGTTTTACAATCTTTTTGTGTAGACGAAATCCCTCTGAGGTTTTGGCGGAACATTCTTTAGCATAAAAAAAATTCAATTTTTTTAAATAATTTCCACAAAAGTTCTACAAAAGCATTTCTCACCATCTGGTCCAGGCCTCCGGGTCCATTGGTGGCGATAATCAAAGCGATCGGCAAAACCATCATGTTTGGTATAACCTCCATAACTGGAACCAGGATAACTTAAAACCGAATTGCTTTCATGGGGCGGAGCACCCTTACGCGGCGGTGGTCCCAAATCGAAGTAGTTGAAATCAATTGGATCCTTGGGTTTTGAACGATGATCTGTAAGACCCCAATAGGCAGTTTGTTTATTACGATAGCCACCATAATTGCCACCATAGGAACCCCATTCATTGTCGGTACCAATTAGGTAGGGCACATATTTCCCTCCTCCCCCACCACCACCACCACTGGGGCTACCACTACCTTTTTTGTATGTCGATGGACGGTCACGATCTAAATAATTATAGGAAGGTGGGGGAGGACCAGGACGATATGAATCCGGTGCATGGGAACCTGAGGGACGATATGGTGTGTACTCAGGACCTGGGCGATAGGGGGGACGATAACGTTCTTGTGAATGCTTACCACCATCATAGCCACCACCACTGCCGCTGGGTAAAGCTTCCCACTTTGATGGATAGGGCCGGTAACGGTCCCTATCACCATGGTGGATGTCATAACGATCAATGGGATCCAAACCGGAACCGCTGCTGCCATAACCACTATGCGAAGAATGTTCATAATAACCCGAACTGTGTGACGAAAATTCATGGGAACCACTGTGATGCTCATACGAATAAGGTGGAGGACGGCCATGGGACTCATAGGAGGGTCCCGACGGCCCTGAAGGACCATAATGCTCCAGCGAAGAACTGCTGCTACCCGGTGGAGGCCGACTATAGTAACCACCACTGCTTCCCCCACTTGGTGGTGAGGGCAAGTAATGATCATCCCTATATGGTGGTTTATCCATCCACGATCCACTTGGCTTGTTGTAGTGCGATGACGACGGTGGTAGTGGGGGCGGTGGCAGTTTACTACTACAATCTCTGCACACATTATACCGGCAACTTGGTGGAGCATTACGATCCCTCTCGTAATAGTCATAGTCGGGATGACGCAATAGATTTGAATCTCTGCGATTTGCACTGGAATACAAATCGATTTGGGCCAAGGGTATTTCAATTAGCTCACAATCACCCTGACCATGGCCGGAAGGATCCAGCCGGTAGTTGAAACCTTCACAAGTGAAACGTTTTTCGCGGCCGCACTCACGCATACATTCCTCGACGCGTTCACATGCTATGGTCCGTCGCACCCAATGCGGGGCAACGCGTTTGCCGGCCAGCACACGTCTAAAGCAAGCTGAAGAACAACAAAGAAAACAAAACAAAGAATGGAATAAATTTCGGCAATTTTATTTCGGCAAAGTTTAACGGCTAATAAAATTAATGGCTTCGCTTGTTTTTTTTTTTTTTTTTTTTTTTGCAAAACTCAAAGAGTATAAATTGCCTCTCGTGGGCTACCTTCTATGGGGATTTATAAAATACAAACATTGGCTCTGAAGTTTTCCATATTTATTTTCTTCGCCATTTATTTGTGTGAATTTTTCAATATAAACAAAAGACGTATATTTTCATTCAGCAAACGCTCTAAGATTTATACAATTTATGCCACACTTTGAAGGCCTGCTTCACGCTTTAAGTTTGAAAGGGATTAGCTGCATTCGAGCTTTATATTTTGTCACTTTGGATAGATGAAACGAACGGATGTGGCCAAAGTCATCTTCATTGCTGGCTGGCATTGAAAACTTCAAGCAGCAAAGACAATGATTTGTGGAAAATGGGAAACAAATGCACCCACAATAGTTACAATGGACATGGGAAATACATCAAATGATGGATTATCCATAGATGGTGTTGATAGTCTATGAAAATGTGTAAATTTGTTGTAATAGATAAGTGTGAAGATTTGTAATCTATAGTTGGACTTGTGGCACACAGCAAGATAAACTTTAAGCATAATAAGTCCTACAATATTTAGTTTTAATAAGTAAAAAAGTAGCCCGGCTGCCTGGCCTGAACTTTTGATACCCTCCATTATTTGGAAGGTACTGGAAAAATAAAAAAATCGCCCAAAAACACCGCTCAAATGAAAACTTTTACATGGCGACAATCCGAAGACGTGGTGCTGGATAAGTAATTTTTTGTCATAGGCTGTAGAAACGATTCCGAACTTCAAAAGCGAAATTCGAAACAATTCCGGTGAATAATGTCGTTAATATAATCAATTTAGGTGAATAATGTAGCGAAATTGCTGGAAATACCGAATATCTCGGGGTAGCGTTATATGGGTGCTATACTATAACGTAGACCTATATGAACAATTCTCTTCCAAGGGGTAAAGTACTCAGACGGTAGTCCTTGTGGGGATTTTCACACTATTCCATTGAAAAATGTGGCTAAAATCATCAAAATACCGAATATAGGGAGGTATAGTTATATGGAGACTATACCAAAACGTGGACCTATACATACAATGTTCTGCCGCACGAGCTAGAATCCATTATGACCCACAAATATCAATTTTTAGACAAATTCGTGAAAAATGTGACAATAATCATCAAAATACCTAATATCGAGAGGTAACGTTATATGGGGGCTACACCAAAACGTGGACCTATATATACAATGATTCGCCACACGAGCTAGAACCCATTATGACCTACAAATAACAATTTTTAGACTATACCAAAACGTGAACCTATACATACAATGTTCTGCCGCACGAGCTAGAATCCATTATGACCCACAAATATCAATTTTTAGACAAATTCGTGAAAAATGTGACAATAATCATCAAAATACCGAATATCGAGAGGTAACGTTATATGGGGGCTACACCAAAATGTGGACCTATATATACAATGATTCGCCACACGAGCTAGAACCCATTATGACCTACAAATAACAATTTTTAGACAAATCCGTGAAGTTCTAATAATAGATTTAATTAGCTTTAAGAAAGTAAAAATTAAAAGAGTTAGGGACTCCAGTTTTTTCTACATCATTTTTTAGTAGATCATTATAATTATAAGCATAATTATAAGTATATTTGTATTAGAATCGTATAGAGAAAGGCTACATCTTCACTGTAGCCTAAGTTATGTATTATATAGGTAAACTTAGAAAAATAAGATTTATGTTAAGTATAGATTAAGGAAATATTGTTAGCCGTAAGGTGTTCAAAAATTGTTTAAGGATATGGATGAAATAAATGAAACTGAAACTGACAAATCCGTGAAAAAATAAGGCGAAAATCATACCGAATATCGGGAGGTACTGTTATATGGGGGTTATTCCAAAACGTTGACAGATATTTTCAATACCAACCATCCTAGACTCAATACAAATCGTTCTGCCAAATTTTGTGGGCTGTATCGTGATTTCAACAGACAGACAGACGGCCATTCGACGAATATTTAGGGATGTTACAAACGGAATGACAAAGTTAATATACCCTCCTTTCTACATAATATTTCGCTATAAACCTCAGAATAAACCACATATCTAGGAACAATATTTGTTTGTGTGTTGTTTCTTTTTATACCCCTTCACTGGGGTATATTAAGTTCTTCATTCCGTCTGTAACCCATCGATATAATAATTTTAGATATAAAAAACTATATATATATATCTTGATAGTAAAATTCTAAGACGATTTAGCCCTTTTCGTCCGTCCGTCTGTTATAATTACGCTAGAGTCAAAACAAATAAATATAGGAATCTAAAAGTTTGCACAGATCAGTCTTTTGTCTGCAGTCAGGTCAAGTTCGAAGATGGGCTATATCGGTCCACGACATTGTTTAGCCCCCATATAACGCCCCCCCGATATTCGGTATTTTGAATTTTGTAGCCAACATTTTCAATGGAATTGTTTAAAATCCATACTAGAAGTTCTTTCTAAGCACTTTACCCCCTTGAAGAGAAATGTCTATATAGGTCCACGATATCGTGAAGTCCCCATTTACCGAAACCCCCCATATACGGAATTTTGATGATTTTAGGGACATTATTCACCGGACTTGTTTCAAATTACGTGTTTAGAATCCGTAATGGGTACTACAGCCTATGACAAAATATTGCGAATATTGCAGGCCCACGTCTTCGTATAGAATCCACATAACTGTACCTCCCAATATTCGGTATTTTGATGATTTTAGCGTCATTATTCACCGGAGTAGTTTCAAATTACGTATTTAGAGTTCGTAATGGGAACTACAGTCTGTGACAGAAAACTGTCCATGCAGGTCCAGGTCTTCGTATAGGCCCCATATATCAGTACCTCCCTATATTCGGTATTTTGACGATTTTAGGTACAATACTCACTGACATTATTTGAGATGTCGTATTTGAAGTTCATAATGAAAACTACAGCCTTTGACAGAAAATTGTCTATGCAAGTTCAGGTCTTCGTATAGCTCCGATATAACGGTACCTTTCTGTATACGGTATTTTGAGGATTTTAGCAACATTATTCATCGTTTTTTTTTTTCAAGTTTCGTATTTGAATATTGTAAATAGGTCAAAAATTTTTAACGGATTTTATTTTTTTGAAAATTTCTAAATTCGTTCCAAATGGTGAAGGGTATTCAAAGTTCAGCCCGGCCATCCTATAGCTTTTTGCTTGTTTCTTTTGTATGTGTTTTTTAGCTGTTTATCTAACACGTATTCAATCCGAGCCAAATTTCTCTTTTATACGTCATTATATGGGGAAAGTGTCAAAGTAAAAATTATTCTAGATCTTCATCATCAGTTTTTGTTAATAAGAAACATTGTTTATTTAAAAAAAATGAGCACTGTACACTAGCTAGACAGGGATAAAGAAATAAGAGTCTGGTCTAAAAAAAGGGTGGCTTGAAATAAGGGTGGGCCTAGAAAAAATGTATCCATAGATGGAATTTTTAGCCATAAAAGGACCCAGAATATTTAGCCATAATTAAAAAAAGAACTCAGAATGCACAATTTCTTCATTATATTATTCAAGTTTTTTCCTTTTTCAAAAAGAATAATAGGAAACTATATTCCTTTTAAACTAGAAAGTCCTTAATATCTTTCATTCTGGCGTTTACCGAGGAGGACATAAGTAAAACCATTGCACGATGGACCCACGTACAATATTTTTCAAAACTGATTGAACACCTCCATTTGTAAACCCTAGAAATCAACAGTGACCTCAATATCAACTTTCGGACTTTCAGCTTTTTCCCTTTACCCAACACTAAAATTAGGACTATTTAGTACTTTTCGAACAAATACAATACAAATCTCTTCATAACAAATTTCATGATTTTAGCTCTGTAATTTCCTTCCTTTTCTCAACCACCATATTATCCATATCAAATTTCAGGATTACAGATCTATTCCTTAACCCAATATCAAATTTAGTACTATTTAGTAGTGTTCGAACAATTATAGTACACTTTTCCAAACTACCGCCAAATCTCAAAAACAGATACCATCGCTAATCTAAATGTCAACTTTCAGAATTTTATCTTTGTCCGAAACTACCTCTATATTTCTATTCCAGGTACCAATAGAAGCCTCAAAATCAAATTTTAAAACTTCAGCTTTTTAAATTCCCCCATTACCCAATTTACTACCACTTTGTAGAATTATAGTACGCAAATCCAAATCCAGATCCTTCTCTTAAGGATATCACCGGCAATGTCATCCATATCAAATTTCAGCTCTATTCCTTTACCAAATACAAAAATTTAATACTGTTTAGTACTTTTCGTGCAAATATAGGACACATTTTCAAACTACCGCCAAATCTCAAACACATATACCATCAGTAATCTGAATATCGATAATTGTATTTCTATCCTCTCACCCAATACCAAATATAGTACTACTTAGTACTTTTCGTACAATTATAGTATACATTTCCGAAACCACTTCCATATCACCAGGCTACACATCAACGGCGACCTACACACTATACTTTCAGATTTTCAGCTTCATCCGTTCACTCTAAACCAAACTGTTCCATATTTTGTACCATTTAGTTCGCAGACTTAGTACACATTTCCGAAACCTTGATATATAAACTTACTTTCCAACCTTGATTCTCGCACCAAATTTAATGTTGTTAGCCCTATCCGTTTGCTTGATACCGAATGGAACCATTTTAGAAATTTCACTACATTTTTGAACTTTTCGAAAACTTAAAGTTCGACTTCCCAAAAAACAATTTTGGTGCATCTATCCTGCACTCCATCAGTTACTCTCATTCCAAATTTCAAAACTCTACTCTGATTTCGTTCGTCTATTACATTCGAAAAAATTCGAAAACCCCCATAT